TTTGTAAGCGTGTTCTTTGTTGTCTTGATCTTCAGAGCCGGTATGAAAGGAAAGTCACCTGAGGGTAGTTTAAGCTGCAGTGATGAGTTACATCGCATTTATCTGTTCATAACCCCATCAATATTGCTTTGAATATTTTCGGGTACAAATATAACGTTCGTGAAATGCATTCACTATCAGAATATCCATCGAGGACATTTCTGACTCGTCATATGTGGTCCAAACTTGCGCTAAAAGGAAAGGGTGGGGAGAAATGTCACGTACATTTCACGGAACGGACACGGAACATGATTTTGGGGGCCGACAATTTAACTTTTAAGGTAGGGGCTCTGGGTGATTTCAGAAAAAAAAAAAATCATTCATTACCTCCACTGGCAATTCGACGACCCTGAGCAGAGTTTTCAGACTCTAGGTCAATAAAAATTAAACCGCACCATTTCCTCTTATTGTGAGTCGAGGCCGCTTGTGATAACATAGCAGACTCAAGATAAGACCACAAAAGTGATACCGGATATTAGTTATTTATTCTGAAACCAAATTCTATCACGTTGGCTATAACTGTGTTTCTAAAGGACTGCAGAAAATGCAGAATTGAAACTTTGAATGTTTTTTTTTTTTAGAAATCATTGCACTGAAAAATGAATCTGCATTTGCTAATAAGTTGTTGATATAAAAGAGGTGGGATGGATTTGTTGTATTTGAGAAACTGCAGGAAACGTGAAATGTGGCCGATATCAAAAACAAAATGCGGCTGATCAGGTGTTAGACGTTTAGCATGCAAAGGTTGTGAATCAGTAGCTTATTCAGCTTTCGTATATCTTAATTTAAAAAGATATTTTAAAATAAGACATGTTATCCTCTTTTATTTTTAGCTTTGATAAGTGCTAGCTAACGGTATTAAAATGGATAAAATATCCGAGAAACTATTAAAAATCATTTGTTATTACACAAAATATCACCTAAAAAGATATATATTACAGTCGAGCCTTCCGTAAGAGACCACCCAAAATGCAAAGACATGGCGGTCGCTTATAAGAATCGAACCACAGGAGGCCTCTTCCGAGAAGAGGTCCGGGCACATCTACTTCATGGAAGATATTTCAGTTGCATGCAATTTCAAAGTAGCACAGCGCACACAGCGAACACAGAGATCAGAGAAAGTCTCAAGTGGTCGCTTACAAGTGGTAAAAAAACAATAGAAAATCATCGACCACCAGGCCCAAAAAGTGGTCGCGGTCGCTGTTAAAGGAGGTGGTCGTTTACTAAATGTTCCTACTGTAAGGCTTTGACGGGGAAAGCTTTAGTTTTTAGGATAGGTGGTCGCTTATGGGAGGTGGTCGCTTACGAGAGGTAGTCGCACATGGAGGTTCGACTGTATTAGTTGCTATTACTTTTTTATGATTTTTTACGCAATTTCAGATTTCTAAAACTCGTTCAATCTAGGTCCCTTGTATAGAGTATGTTTATAAAAACTTTGCGACGAGACAGCTTTATGTATACTCCTCAGAACATGATCATTTCATTCTCCTACTGAACTAATACTTTATCTACGCCTAAAAAATTATAGACCATCCACCTTAGACAATAACGTTTTACAATTTCACCTCTTGCTAGGGATTCTCCCTTCGCAAGGCAGAGTTTTCGCTTTACCCTTTGTTAAGATATAAACTGAACTCAATCATAAGATCAAGATGGTAACTGCTCCTGGGCCTCCCGAATATCACAGGGTGCCCAGACTATGCATAACATTACCCCTATTGTCCACCCGGGGGAAAGCTCAAACAACTATCACAGGTTTCCTCTGTTTTCCTCGTACACTCTTGAAAAAACCCTGTTTGTGTTAGCCTAGCGTACTTTCCACACCCTGCAAGTATATGGGGAATTCTTTCAGGCCAACTATACTACACAGCTGAGTCGGCGCTCGTTCCTGTCTGACGCATTATGATGGCACAACTTAGTCAGAAGAAGTTTATTGTGCAATTTGTGCGCCCCTGCAACGCTGCTCGAGGGACGTATCTTCCAAGTTCTTCATCCAATCGATGTCGTTTTTGCTTAGATTTTGCCTTTCTATTCTAAATAATTTATGATTTTAAGTATGATTAAGTAGTAGTATTTCCTTTGCTATATTTTTTAATGCCTGAGGCGAACTTATAATTTAAAAAAATATGATAAATGAATAAAATTTATCACCAGTTAACACCAGTGGCTATAACATAGGCATGCCAATTCCTTTGGCTTACCGGCCACTCTTAAAAACGAGTATCACTCGATTTTCTTTTGCCTTTTAAATACTGGTCAGAGATGAATATTCTTTCTCCTCTTATCGTTATTATAAAAAAAACCCTGAAACCTCTCTCTTCAACCCCCTCTTTCTCCAGTTCTTCGTTGATAGCATCTTTGAGTAATTACTTATATTACTCGTTATTGATTCTTTATTTTCGGTTTCTCAGAACAGTCCTACATTTTTAACCTGATTACAAGATGTTGAGCCTAAAATCATTCTAAAAGCAATACCGATATAGGGTGATGGACCGACGGGTAACACGAAATGTTTATTTATGTTTATTTTCATTTTAGACCAGAGCTCATTAAAATCTAAATTTTACTTATTCGGAGTAATTTCCGATCTCTGGTGAGACAAACTCTGGGAAAAAATTACAGAGAATGAACTATAATCAATTGAGCAAAATTAACAACGGATTGAGTTGCTTTTAGTTTCATTTAAATGTTATCGCAGAAGTTTAGAAAAAGAGCATTTGAAAGCTTAATGAGGTACTTATGCTCAGGCAATAGCTGACAATTACGTGGTATTAAGGAAATAAACCAGTTATATAAGAATGTTCGTTCTTAATTGTTTTCCGGAAATAAACACTTATAGTGCCGGAATAAGATATTGATACAGAGATGGATTGGCACGTAAGAATCTTAGATTCATTTTGTGGGAAAGATATATATTGCATTATTATCATTTTTCTTCTGTCACAGTCTTTGCTGGTGTTCTTTTCGTGCATCAGCCAAGCGAAAACCATGCACCTGTTCATAAAGTAAACAAATTCCTGAGGATTGGTGCAGATCTCAGCATGCAGATCTTTTGGGTCTCTGTCAGAGTAGCTCTCCCTGATACTTTCTTGATGTTTTCTACTATCCCCTTGTTGTTGTTGTTGTTGTTGTTGTTGTTATTGCTATTATTATTATTATTATTATTATTATTATTATTACGAACGAACGACTTTTCGGTGTCATCTTGACGCCATTTTCAAGTTCAAAATGATTGCTGATAAACTGTTAAAAACATTTTGGTTGATGATTAGCATATCATATCCGAGAACTGTCTCCCAGATGTTGTTAGGGGATCAATCCAGATTGCCGCTTTTGCCGATGACGCAAAGGTTTTCAAAGAAATAACATTAACGCGCGATGCAGAACAACTTTAGGAGGACCTATCTGACCTGGTCACGTGGTCAGATTCTGCTAGCCTAAAGTTTAACTACAGCAAATGCAAAGCCCAGCGCATCACTAGGAAACTTAAACCCCTGCAAGTGATCTTAGTTACCCGCACTATCAGATCTAACAGCAACTGTAATGTCACTCACTTTATTTCAAGGAAATGTAATACTGTTGTATTTGAGAAACTGGAAACGTGAAATGGGGCCGATATTACAAAATGTTGCTAATCAAGTGTTCGACTTTTAACATGCAAAGGAAGTGAACGTGGCATATTCAGCTAAACTTGAGAATTTCATATATCACGATAGATGTTACTTAAAAAATATCATAAAATAAGACATGCACTCCTCTTATATTTTTATACTACCTCTCATGAATGCTAGCAAGAATATAAAATCCCAGAAACTTAACACAATTTGTAAGAAAACAAAATCACCCTAAAAGAATAAATTATTATTAGCTGCTTTTACTATTTTCTGATTCCTCACGATATTTTGAGCAAGTTTTTGGCGCCAGTACTTGATGCCAAACTGGATTCAAGATAAGAGAAGACAAACGTAAATCGAATACTGGATAGAGCGATTTTGTTTGACCTTGAAAACGGTTCTCGTCTAGTTTATCACGAAACAGTCAGATCAAAACATGAGATTAGTTGCATTTCTGAATTGCAAACTTGATCACGGAGTTGTAGTAAACCATGTTTGTTGACCTTCAAGCGATCCCTCCAAACGATCTCAATGAGCTTTGTGGTGGCATATCTTTCACGGGTTTTTACCCGTTTTGAGAACATGGCGAATTTCGCTGGTTATTAAAGTGCACTGCTTTTATCCGAGAGGAATAACCCGTCACTCTAGGAATACCTCATTAATTCCCACGGTAGCTTCTTGGTGTGGTTTGCAGACGATAAGATTATCAAAACATTGAAAATACAATAAAAAATCCTCAAATCACAGACGCAATGCATGGCTAAACAACAGCACTTGCTGTAGTGTTATACAACAATTATGCGACAAGAAGAACTAATAGAATGTCATCCTAGTGAAGTTCAGGATGTTGTTAATGTAAGAACCAGAATTCGAGTTGATAAGATTTCAGTGAAATTTCGATCAAGGGAAAGGAAATTCAGTTCGAGTTAGTGAGGAATTCGAGTAGTCCGTGTCCCAGTCAGGACTGTATTACATAACACCGGGAGAAACATTTCTTATCCCAGGGTTATTATTGTAAGTCCTGGGGATACTCTCGCCAACATAAATGATTCTTTAGTACAGGACACCCTCAGTTTTGTCATTTTAGTTCCTTTAATTTTGTATTAACACTGTCATTAAGACTAATGCAGATGATTTAGACAACTCGGTCAAGATTCTTAACGCATTAATTAAAGTGTTTTATTAGCGTCAGAAAACAGCCGACACCTCTAGACGCCACCACTGGTTTCCTTACGAAATGAAGTCTGAGAAACGAGCGCAGAAATTCCATACTATTCTTGTTGACAATATTAAATTCGGGGTTTTGTGAGTGCGGGTGCTTTAACATTAAACGCTTATACGCTTCAA